CACACACACACACACACACACACACACACACACACACACACACACACCTTGTTTTAGCAACCTGTTCCTCAATTTTGGGTTTCTTCCTCGTTAGGCTGGCGTTGTTACCACCATCTTCCTCTTGACACTTTCGAGAAAAACTTTTGTTTCGATCAGTCGCCTCACTTTCCTCCTCCGAGCTGCTGCTGTAGCCGACCAACATCCTGCCACGACTATAGGTGTGCGGGCATTAAAATGATAACGTTACATGTACTGTGATGAATCAACGATATAGACATGTTGGCTCGGCTTCAAAACGCATTTTTTCCTCCAGCGGCTTCGAACAATCAGCCGGAAGTATCATCCACGCAGTCCTTCGCTTCCGATGTAAACAACCTGGTGTAATGATAATATGTGTCCCAGTGAAACACAGATCCGCTTAGTTCCCCTTTATTATATTTGCCACAATGCGTGTACAGTACATAATGTTAGATGAAGAGGTGTTTTTGTGTACTGCTAGGCCCAAAAGATTCTCTGAAATTTGGAAAAAATGCATTTATGCCATGCCATTTAAAAAAAGGTGACAGGTTCAGATGAAACTGGAGGGAGGTGTAATTATGTTTAAATTGTGGTTTTGATTGATAAACAGCCACTGACACATAAATTCTTTAGGACAGCAGGAATAGATGTAGTGAAAAACGTTTGTACGGGTGTTACATTAAAGCCGTCATACACAGTTCCGGGTGTGTGGGTGTGTTGTGAGCATGCCAATTAACTCTTGGTTTATTCATGTTCCCGTGCGCGGGCAGAGGCTCAGAAGCTAGCCGATAGCTAGCTAGCAATTTATCACAAAATGCATATGTTTTCGCTAGCCGAGAGAATGCCCTAGGATCCAAATAAATGTACAAGTGAAATGACAAGGTTTGTTGGGGATATTAGGAAAACCACAGGACAATTTTCCATTTTAATGACCCGCAAACCCCAATTTTTTTTTCCGGCCCCCGGAGCCACAGCGCTCGAACAAGAGAGCATCCGAGCACCGTTTGCGGATGTGAAGAAGGGACCTAATGCTATTTGGGGGAGTAACCGTTAGCTAACCTACGGCAGACTGGCGTTTATCTGAAATACTAGCGGGCTTGACTGGACGCTCCAGGTACGTAAATGCGGGGTTTTCGCATCATTGTTTACATGCACCACTCACTAACAAATGTGTCGCTGCAACTGCTACTACTAGGTTGGTTTTTCCCCCGTGGCTAATCCGCTAGCGTTAGCTCTTTTCCTGCGCCCCTGTGGCCGCGTTAGCATGTAGCTAGGCTAGCTAGCTAACCTATCCTGATTACAGCGATCTTTGCCTGGAGACGAAAAACGTTATGATGCGCAGACGCTGTCTTCCTCTTTTATTTTTTTTAACCGCGAATCGTTGAGCATTTTGGATGTCTGCATGGACTAAAATTGGAACTACATAACCAATATAATAAAGATTTACATATACGACTCTGCGTTAACGTTTTATGTCCAAGCCTGTATGTTAATGAATGATCACTTGCCTTCACGGGGCACAGCTTCCAAGTTGTTTACGTTTCATTGAATAGGGATGCTTTTTAGCAATGTCGACATGCGGTAACGTTACATATCATTGTCGGGATGTTTTACGTGACTCTGTGCCTTTTGGGGTGATAAATATGAATGATGTGAACCCGCCGAGTTGCTCATGAGCAGATGTGAGAATACGCTGTGGTGAGAAGTTGACTGTATAGTCTGGCTCCAGCTAATATAATTATAATCCACAAGTTTTAATGTCTCGGTTTTCTGCTGAGTTTATACAGACCGATCACAACTCTGTGCTGGAGCTGGTGTAGCAAAATTGCAAAAGAAAATGTGCAATCTGTTTACATTTTTTGAAAAAACATCTTGCTAGACAAATATCCTTTTTTTTTTTCCCAGCCAGGGTGGTCTGTCCGCTGGATCGGCGGATGTTGGAGATGCAACATAACGCTACACTGTTGTTATTGAGTAACCCCTTTCTGCCTGTTGATATATTGACTTACATTGATTCTCTTTTTTCATACAGATACCACTTGAAGGCCGTAAATTACGTGAAAGACGTTCTGAGTATGATCTCCACACAGTCGTTCTCATCTGCACATCGTTGAATCTTCCACCAAAGCCCCTTCACCAAGCACCCTCGCCAGTTCTTCAGCGCCACTTGCTATAATGGAGTGAGTTTTTTTTTTCCTACAACACTCTTTGAAGCCTTCAGCCCGTTACTTAAATATACTCCAATCTCCCTTTCTCACGCAGTTGGGCCACACCGGCTGCCAAACTGAATCCCTACACCCGAGCCCGCATGTCGGAGGCCTGGCAGCAGCATGCGGTCGCTCCACCTCCAGTCGTCCACACCATCCCTCCGGGGGCTGAGAGCGCGCTGGGCTGCGCAGTGTACGGCATCGTGCTGCAGCCAGACGCCACGTCTTTGCAGCAGCAGCAGGCCCAGCACGGCCAACACAGCCAGCAACACGGCGGGACTCAGCAGCACGGAGGCGGGCCGCACGGTCAGCAGCAGCACCCCGCCCAGGCCCAGCAGACCTCCCTGCAGGTAGGGACAGAGGGAGGACACAAGTGCGCGGCCTGTGGACACGACATCTCCCACCTGGCCAACCCGCACGAGCACCAGTGCATGGTGAATCAGGACCGGTCGTTCCAGTGCACCCAGTGCATGAAGATTTTCCACCAGGCGACGGACCTGCTGGAGCACCAGTGTGTCCAGGTGGAGCAGAAGCCGTTCGTGTGCGGAGTGTGCAAGATGGGCTTTTCCCTGCTAACCTCTTTAGCTCAGCACCACACGTCCCACAACAGCACCAACCCGATGAAGTGTTCGATATGCGAGAAGACCTACCGACCTGGCTCCTCCGGCAACGTCACACCCAACTCGACTAACGCCCAGCAGCCCAGCAGTGACGGGGCCTCGGCGAGCAGCAGCTCCTCCATCCTGCCCTTCCCCTCGGCGCGGGACCGGCCGTACAAATGCTCCATTTGCCAGAAGGGCTTCAAGCACCTGTCCGAACTCACGCGGCATGAGCGGGTGCACACGGGGGAGAAGCCCTTCAAGTGCGACACATGCGACAAGGCCTTCAGCCAGTCGTCCCACCTGCAGCACCACCAGCGGACGCACAGCAGCGAGCGCCCGTTCAAGTGTGCCGTCTGCGAGAAGAGCTTCAAGCACCGCTCCCACTTGGTGCGCCACATGTACGTGCACTCTGGCGAGCACCTGTTCAAATGCAACCTGTGCGAGCTGCACTTCAAGGAGTCCTCCGAGCTCCTCCACCACCCCTGCCACCCGCAGGGTTCCCGGCCGTTCCGCTGCGCCGCGTGCGGTAAGGGTTTCAAGCGGCCGTCAGACCTCCGGCAGCACGAGCGCACGCACTCGGAGGAGCGGCCCTTCCACTGCGATGAGTGCCAGATGAGCTTCAAGCAGCAGTATGCGCTGGTGCGCCACCGACGCACGCACAAAGACCCAACCGACAGGCCATTCAAATGCAATCTGTGCGACAAGGGCTTCATGCAGCCCTCTCACCTCCTCTACCACCAGCACGTCCACGGCATGGACAACCTGTTCAAGTGCGCCTCGTGCCAGAAGGAGTTCAGCCAGTCGGGGGAGCTGCTCAGACACAAGTGCGGCGAGTCGTCCAACTCCTCGCCGGACAAGCCGTACAAGTGCGACGTCTGCGGCAAGGGCTACAAGAAGAGCTCGACGTTGCAGCGCCACCAAAACTCCCACTGCCAAGAGAAGCCCCTCAAGTGCTCGCTGTGCGACCGCCGCTTCCTGTCCTCGTCGGAATTTGTCCAGCACCGCTGCGACCCGTCGCGGGAAAAGCCGCTGAAGTGCCCAGAATGTGAGAAGCGTTTCAAATACTCGTCGGACCTGAACCGGCACCGGCGCGTGCACACGGGGGAGAAGCCGTACAAGTGCGAGCACTGCAACAAGGACTTCAAACAGCGCGAGCACCTGATCAAACACCAGAGCACTCACTCCAGAGAGGGCCAGTTCAAGTGCGTTTGGTGCGGCGAGCGTTTCAGTGACTTGGGCTCTTTGCAGGATCACACGGTGCAGCACACAGCCGAGGGAGGGGGTTACCCGGTGCCACAGTGCTTATAAATCCTTCAAGACTTTTGAACAGACAGTCCCCTAAGCTCCTGTCCTCTTGTCCATCCCTTGTAGGCGTATTATTCAGCCTAACTTTTTCCACATTTGCAGGACAGCCCAGGCTTTTATGGTTCACTCCCACCCGGTATACGTCAAGTTTTTGTCGCTTTACCAACCTGCCCAAAGCCCTTTAGTACTGTGTCATTCCATAGGATCCTGAGCTGCACTTTCCTTTTGGTTCCACCTCTTCTGCTTCTCATACCCCCCCCATTTTTTTTTCTTTTTCTTGCCGACGACCAGACAGTTGATGGCAGTGAAGAGGCCACAACCGCTGAAGCGCCATCGGTCATTCTTAATGAGACTTTTGCAGACAGAAACAGGTGCCACGATGCAGGTCGATCCAGCTAATCCCCTCCTTATTTCCTCCCTTCATTTTTCTGATATGACACCGTCATAGTTTTTGTTTTATTTTTTTTAATAGTAGCGCTAAGTATGTTTTTAAAGGTGTGCTGAATGAATCAATAGAGTCGAGCATCCATCTGAACTGACTTGTGTTTACTGCTGGGTTCTACTAGAGGGGGGATCGTTCCCTTGTTTTTCTCTCCTCCTCTGTCCCTCTTTATCTCTGACATCTCTTCCCCTCGCTCGTTCTTTCTCTCGTCTTTGCTTTCTTTCGCATCTTCCTGTCTCAGCCTGGTATCAGAAGACTGGGACGCTCTGACTAACCCCTCAGACACACATGTACTCACATTCATTTGTCTTAAGTCAGGTGAAGGGTGATTTGAAACGCTTTTGGTTTTTCATCTTCCCACAGTAATACAGAAGCAGCGTAAAGACTCTTTTGGTCACAAACCGATGCCCTGCGTCCACTTCCCTTTTTATTTATGTTTTTTGAAAGGTGCTAAATTCAAAATGTAGAGCATTACTGTAGCAGCAAACAACTATTTGCTATGTAAAGATATAGTGGAGTAATGAACCTGTGCAGAAAAAAGTCGCTCTCCCTCTGTGCACGTTGTTATCCAGGTTTCTCGTGAGCGTGCCCCCCCAGGCTAGCTTATGGCGGCAGCTCTGCGCTGTGCTTGTACGGCGGTCACAGCTCACAGCCGTCCTGGCCCATGGCGTCGTCGGGGAAGCGTAGTGCTCACCCTCCTGCCCTCAGGTCAACACAGTTGGCTCCGTCAGCACGCTTGCCGTTGTCTGCACCGTTAGAGCTGTTAACACGGTCGGCTGCAAGCCGCCGGCTTAGCCGTCGCCATGTTGAGAGCCACGTGGAGGCAAAAGATAAGATCTGAGTTTGAAATTTAGCACCTTTTGAACATATTTACAAAGTAGCCAGTCAACTCCTCAACGTATGTGAAGGGAAAGGTGTGGGGGGGGGGGGGGGGGGGGG